CTTTTTCTATGGCAGCCATGTGATGGGATGGAAATTCACATATGGGCCGTTCTTTTACAAACCGAACAGATGTAATTTACTAAACATTTTTAAATATTTATTTTTAAATTAAAAAAAAAATTAATTAAATTTTAAAATTTTTTATTTTTATTAAATAAATTTTTTTAAAAACTTAAAAAAAAATATTTAAAAATGTTTATTAAATTACATAATATAAAAAAATAATAAATAAAATAAATTTAAAATTATTGTTTATTAAATAGACGGTTAAATAAATAGTTGTAAGTTTTTAATTGATTAAAAAATGACTTTTTACTTTTTGTCATTCAGAAATTGTCAAAAAACTTAAAACTTAACTTTTAATCATTAACAATTGTTAAAGGACTAGTAAACAATGAGAAAACATAAATTCCATTAGGATCCGATAAGAGTGAGAGAGTAGATCTACTTGCTGCGACGTTTTTTCATAGAAAAAAGCCGAGGCCTTGCTAAAACAAATTCGATATTTTAAAAACTAAAAGTGGCTCCAACTTTTTACAAAAACCGATTGTAACTTACAATATAGCGCAAGTATTAAAATAAAAAAATAAATTTTTTTTGTAGGGGCAATAGTTAAAAATTTTTTTTAAATCTTAATTTGTTTTTATTTTTAAGAAATTCAAAATTTTTTTTTTTAAGAAATTTTATTTTGAAAGCAGAGGTTTTAGAGGAATTATTGCAAGAGACATGAATTCAATTGGTTTCATATAACCGGAGATACAGATTTTCAATGAGAAGGTACTTTTTCAAATTTGACAATTTTTGGCACACTTAAAAAAATTCTAACTAGAAAAATAATTTTTTTTCGGTCAAATCCTGATACACGTGCTTACTTATTTTCCGAATAGTACGTGTAAAAAAAGTTTTAGGCAAATCAAAAATGTGAGCCAATACAAGGTGTTCGGTTTGTAAAAGAACCGCCCATATATTCATAATACGAGTTAGTAACTGAATTGTGCAAAGTTTCAGCTTAAAGCATTACTAAATAAAATAGTTTGAAAAAATATGAAATATCTTGGAAATTACTGAAAGAAACCAAAGACAAACAAGAGGGAACGTTATAGTCGGGTGCCCCGACTATCAGATACCCGTTACAGGTAAAGGGAGTGCGAGGGAGATGGAGATAGAGATAGAAAACGTTGATCACGCATAACTTTTTAACGAATGGTCCGATTTGAAAAATTTCTTCTACATTTCGATAGGTATTGATAAACACAATAAAACTGCATTTTTACTTTTCCAAAAATATTAAAATTTTTAAAATCGTATATAAGCGATTGTGGGCGTTAGAGGGGGCGTGGCACCATTTTGAAACAAACTTGCGCTGCGTAGGAACTCCTAAAATCTGCCTGCAAAATGCCAATCTTCTAGCTTTTATGGTTTCTGAGATCTCAGCGTTCATTCAGACAGACAGACATACAGACGGACAGACGGACAGACAGACAGACAGACGGACAGACGGACATGGCTAGATCGACTCGGCTAGTGATCCTGATCAAGAATATATATACTTTATGGGGTCGGAAGCGCTTCCTTCTCCCTGTTACATACTTTTGCACGAATACAATAAACCCTTTTACTCTACGAGTAACGGGTATAACAATCTCAGAAATATCACTTCATAGGATAAAGGAGACTTCCAAAACCGCAATTAAAAATGTTTAACAAAAAAAATACCACCTAAAAAAAAATATTATACAGTTGCAGAGGGTATTATAATTTCAGTCAGATGTTTGCAACGCAGTGAAGGAGACGTTTCCGACCACATAAAGTATATATATTCTTGATCAGCACCAATAGCCAAGTCTATCTAGCCATGTCCGTCTGTCCGTCTGTCTGTCTGTCCGTCTGTCCGTTTCTATGCGAACTAGTCTCTAGTTTTAAAGCTATCGCGATGAAACTTTCCCGAAAGTCTTCTTTCTATTGCAGGTAGTACATATGTCGGAGCGAGCCGGATCGGACCACTATATCTTAAGGCTTCCATACGAATATTCAAAGAAATATAAGATAATTCATTGAAACTTTGTGGGAAGTAGGCGTTTTTTTTGACAACTTAAAAACAAAATTAAAAAAATAGGCACGCTGAATCTGGAATCCCTGGAACTGCAAGGTATATCTTCAAGGGTATATATCTGCAAGGGTATATAAGCTTCGGCTGGCCGAAGCTAGCTTCCTTTCTTGTTATACCCTTGCAGAGGGTATTATGATTTCAGTCAGAAGTTTGCAACGCAGTGAAGGAGACGTTTCCGACCCCATAAAGTATATATATTCTTGATCAGCATCACAAGACGAGTCGATCTAGCCATGTCCGTCTGTCCGTCTGTCCGTCCGTCTGTCCGTCTGTCTGTTTCTACGCAAACTAGTCTCTCAGTTTTTGAGCTATCGGGATGAAACTTTCCCAAAAGTCTTCTTTCTATTGCAGGTTGTATATATGTCGGAACCGACCGGATCGGACAATTATATCTTATAGCTCCCATAGGAACGATCGGAAAAAAAAACTTTAAAAAATTCTAGCTTCGGTGTTTTTTCAAGTATTACCTTTTACTCTTGGAAATATTATTTTTTATATATTTCTGAATTTCAAATTAAATATTTTAAAAATCGGATCACTATATCATATAGCTGCCATAGGAACGGTCGAAAAATTAAATGGAAATTAATAGGTAAACAAATTATATCTTTGTTGACTTTTATTACATTCTCTTCTACTCTGGGATATGGCTATTTTTAAATATTCCCGAATTTCGATTTTAATTTTAAAAAGATCGAACTACTATATCATATAGCTGCCATAGAAACGATCGAAAAATTAATATAAAATAATAGGAAATTTAACATTTTTGCGATTTGTAAATTAATAGGAATAATCTGCAAGGGTATATAAGCTTCGGCTTGCCGAAGCTAGCTTCCTTTCTTGTTTTTTTTTGTAATGCCCCTAGATTACATCTACAAACGTGTAAAGTTGTATATGTGCAGGTTCCTCTTTTGTAAGAGATAACACTGAGTTTTAATGTATTAATTGATAGACTTTATTCACATTCGACGTATTAACTTTAATTTAACAAATATACGTGTGCTACTTATGTTCTGTTCTCTGCAAGATTTTGTCCGCGAGTGTCTGGCAGTGCGTTGCCACTTTACTCACGTTGCAACTGGGTATCGAGTACAACTTATAAATATTGAGTATAGAAAGGGAAAAATAATAGATCAGAAGGTGAGACCGCTTCTTTAAAGTTTGGCAACATTTTTTAGATTCCTAACTTCAAAAATTCATAGCGCTGCTAAGGAGGCACCAAAAAATTAAAAAAAAATTACTGATGATAACGAAGGCATTCTCTACGAGATGTCGGAGTTTGAAGAAAATCTAAATTTCCATATGCGCAGTTGAGAAATTCCCACCCAAAAGCAAAACATACGGGGGTGTCACAGAAATTATTTCCAACCTAGATCCGTTAAAGTTCTTACGTACATCAATGCACAAAACCAACCGTCTTTGGTTGGAAGAGATTTCTTTGACATCCCCGTTAGGAAGCATTTACAGTTTTTTCAACCCCAGCTTAAAACATAAGAAATTCCATTTGAGAAATTCCCTGCAGGAAAAATGCGATCTAGTCCGAGAATCAACTAGTTGTACAATTAGAAAAAAAGGTAGGATTCATTCATTTGGACTACTCAGGGCTTAGAAAATTTGGGCTAGTCGAAAAAATAGATAGTACAAATCTATTAACATACTTCGCTGAAGACGGTCGTGCTTTTCAATCGCTCTCGAAAACGTAGGCTAAACGTTGAAATAAGTCTATCTTCATAACCCAACTTGGATTTTCTTATCACTTTCGATACGCCGCTTCACTGTGAAAAGCCAACTTTATAAAGACAGTGACTTTATTGTTAAATTTTAACAAATTAAAACAAGTGCTTCAACAAGTTGTCAATCCTAAAAGTGTTGTTGTTGTTTGGCTTTATCGTCTCACCAGCTACGATCTCGTTTACGGTTCGCTCAGCGTTGCAGCTTTCCGTTACATAGCTAGCATTTCTCGAGTACGAAATCGCGCTCAGAACATCGCCTGCATATCACTCTCTCCCGCTATCTCCTCTCTGCGCCCCTCTTCGTTGGACATACCGCCGATGGACCTAGGTTAGGTTAGGTTAGGTGAGCATGGTTGGGGATTATAGACTAATCCCCTCACTTAGGCCGCCATGGGCCCCTTGTGATACCATATGATCTCAGAAAAGATCCATTTCGCTAGCCCATGGGTTATTGGGTTTCTCGAACCAGTTGGTTCTTTTCAGAAAACAAAGGAGTTTGGGTATGCTGGTGCCTTGTATGGCTGCAAGGTTTGGAAGCGTGTAGCTTCCTAGTGTTTGAAAACGTTTGAGGTTGTGTGCTGGGCAGAAGCACAGGAGGTGTTCAATGTTCTCCTCTTCTTCTATTTGTTTACAGCTGCGAAAGTAGTCGTAGCTGCTGAGTCCTAGCCTGCGCGCGTGAGTCCATAAGAGACAGTGGCCCGTGAGGGCATTAATTAGAGTGGAAACGTCTGCCCTGTTACATTGTAACAGGGTTTTGGTTCTTTTCGGGTTATAATTACCCCAGGTGAGCCTGGACGTGTGGCATGTTGAGATCGTATTCCACCGGTTGTTGGAAAGGGTGTACAATTTTTGTTTGAGGAAATGCTTACAGATAGCTAAGGGCATGCCCAACGTGTCCTTATGGCGAAGGATGTCGGTGGTTGTCCCTTGTCTTGCTAATTCGTCCGCTATGCAGTTGCCTTTAATGTTACGGTGTCCAGGCACCCAAATGAGGCTGATTCTGAGATGAGTGGCCATCTCGTTTAGAGATTTGCGGCATTCAGAGATAGTAAGTGAGTTAGTTGAGTAGGAGTCGAGGGCCCAGAGGGCTGCTTGTCTGTCCGAAAAGATGAAGATATCTGTGTTGCAGTGTTTTGTTGTATCCAGGCCATGTCTTAGGCTTCCTGGATTGCCATCACTTCCGCTTGGTAGACACTACAGTGATCTGGTAGTCGAGTTAGGGTGAGAAAACTCCACATCTCGTTTTGCAAGTTAAGCTTGGAGCCATCTGTGTATATATTGACGGCGTTCTCGATCTGGTGAGGGAGGTGGTCCCAGTCTGTGCGGGTGGGTATGAGAACCTTGTATCTTTTTTCGAAGCTGACTATTTGTGGGACGTAGTCTGTTATGTGTGGTATATAACGCTGGTTTGTTAGTATAATGGAGTGACCTGAGCGCCGTTGCTGATGCCCAGCTTTTGGCAAGCAGGTCTAGAGGTTCTAGGCCAAGAATTGTGTTCAATGCTTCAGTGGCTGTTGTGTGAAGCGCCCCACTTATGCACAGTTCTGCGCTTCTTTGGATCTTGTGCAGATTCTTTAGGTTGCAATTCTTTTCTAGGGAGTGCCACCAGACGATGTTTCCGTAGAGGAGGATGGGTCTGACTATTGCAGTATATAGCCAGAGGACTATTCCGGGAGAGAAGCCCCACTTTCTCCCTATAGCTGTTTTACAAGCAAAGAGTGCTATGGCCGCTTTGCGTGTGCGGTCCGCGATGTTCTCTGCCCAGAGGAGTTTCTTGTCTAGGATGACGCCTAAATACTTTGCTTGGTTACTAAGAGTAAGGCGAGTTTGGTGTAGTTTTGGGAGAGTTAGACTTGGTATTTTATACTTCCTTGTAAATAGAACTATTTCTGTCTTTTCTGGGTTGACACCCAGTCCGCAGCGCGCTGTCCACCTTGATAGTGTGGATAGGGCTGTCTCCATCAGGTTGCATAGCGTCTGAGGAAATTTTCCTTGCATTAGGATAACCACGTCGTCCGCATAGGCCACCACTTTTGTTCCCGCTTCCTCTAGAAGTGATAGAAGTTTAACACCGCCTCGCGGTGTTCCTCTACTAACGTTCTTAGTCGATTGTGCTGATCCCATAGTGGAGTACACTACCCTACTGGTGAGTATGGTGTGAATGAGTCCCACTATAGGACGCTCAATGCCTAGTTCCGTCATAGCGCCAGTGATAGCCGTTGGGGTGACATTGTTGAAAGCGCCTTCTATGTCTAGGAAGGCTGCCAGGGAGTATTCCTTGTTATGGAACCCTCTCTCTATACAAGATACTAGGGAGTGTAGTGCAGTATCTGTTGATCTGCCTTTACGGTACGCATATTGTGCATTGGAGAGTAAACTAGGGTTGGTAGTTAGTCTGATGTGTGTGTCAATTAGCCTTTCCAGGGTCTTTAACAAGAAGGAGGAGAGGCTTATTGGACGGAAGTCCTTTGGAGAGGTTTGAGAGGGCTTGCCATCCGGGCCAGGTGATTTGAAGGGCTTAAAGGAATTTATAGCCCCATTGATGCATTCAGGGTTTGAAATGTTGACTATGCTCTGCTCGTCGAGGTTCTCATTTACGTGGAGGTTCTCTACTGCTTGAGTGTTTTTAGGGAAGTGGGTATCTACCAGGATTTCTAACGTTTTTTGGCTGTTACCCGTCCAAGTGTCTTCATTGGTTTTTAGGTATCCAACGGTTGCTGGAGATTTTGCTAAGATTCTTCTGAGCCTGGAAGCCTCCGCTGTAGATTCTATGCTACTGCAGAAGTTGGCCCATTCTCTTCGCTTTGATATTCTAATTTCCTTTTTGTATTGGCTTAGCTTCGTATGGTACGTGTTCCAGGAAGCTTCGCTGTTGCTGTATTTAGCTTTGTTGAAGTGACTTCTGCAGTCGCTTTTAAGAGCCGCCAGGGTGGTGTTCCACCAAGGCGGTTTGTGCTTTGTTTTGACTGTTCTGCTTGGGCAGGCCTTTTTAATGGCCTCACCACAGATGTCAGTGAAAGTATTGACTATGTTTTCTAATTCCTGACTGTCGAGTATTTGAGTCGGTGGAGTGTTTAGGTTTCTATCGAGGAGTTTTTTGTAGTAACCCCAGTTAGTGCGTCTTAGATTTCTTATGTTCTCGGGGGGAGGACATTCTAGAGATATTGTAAATTCTACATATCGGTGGTCGGAGAAGGAGTGTTCAGTTCCCACTTTCCACTCTTCAAGATGGTTAAGTAGGGTGTCAGATAACAGGGTAATGTCTAGAACTTCCCTCCTATTTCTAGTGATGAAAGTAGGGTCATTACCTTTGTTGCAAATGAATAGGTTGGATTGAAGGAGATAGTCATAAAGTAACTCACCCCTTTCGTTTGTATTTGTACTTCCCCATTGTGTGTGGTGTGAATTGGCGTCTCCACCCAGGATGAGTTCCTTAGATGAGTGTGTGTGTATGAGTTGTTGTGTTATGATGTTTGGTAATGGCCCCTCTTGGTCATGAGCCAGGTAAAACGATGATATGGTGTGATGTGTGTGTGAGTTTAGCTCCAGCCTGACCGTGGTAAGGTCGCCTTCACTAAACTGTGGGATTAGAAATGTGTTAAAGTGTGTTTTAGTGAGAATGCAGGTCCTAGGTTTGCCCTTACCCTTCATATGAAAAAGCTTGTATGTGGCGGTTGATAAGCCACAGATGTTGTTTCCAACAATCCATGGCTCTTGGATGAGGACTATGTCTATTTTGCCCGTTTCCAGGCGGGTGAGGAGGGCAGCAGATGCTGCCTTGCTGTGGTGCAGATTAATCTGTAGGTACTGCACCATTTTGGGGGTTGGGCTCGGGTTGGGTACCCTCTACTTCCTCCACTATGTCCTAGAGCACACTACGACCCGGTCGGACCGTGTCATGGGTGCACAACTGCTTCAGGTTCTCAGTGAGCTCTGAATCAGTCGACACGTACCCTGTGTGGAGGGCCTCCTCGTGCTCCATCTCGTCGTCGCTCGGGGGTTCATAAGACGCGCAGGCCGCCAAATTGTCTGCCGCTAGCTTGTCCGTGTCGTAGATGCGGAGTTGCACCTTATCGAATCCGTAGTTGAATCACCACGTTCATGGTGACGCGTTCTGTCTTCTCAACCTTCACCACCTTCCAACCTTCTGTTGGGAGGTTGGGGTTGAACCTTGTCAGGAGGCTAAGAATAGCCTCTGGCTCAGAGGGTTCAGACGGCAACCACACCCTCGCCCTTGGTCTGGTCGGGATATCCGCTGCCTCGCAGACGGCTAGCTTGGCCCCGGGGTAGACCTCGCCAACTATGGTAATGGCAGACTTGTAGAGCGCTGCCGATCTCTCGTCCTCACAGGCGATCAACTTGACGTTGCCCTGGTACCACCCTGCATCTGTGCAGTCAGGGGGCGGTCCTGGGTTTTCGTCCAGCACTTTTAAGGCCACCGTCGCAAGTGCCCGCCTAACCAGACCCCACTGGTTCCTTGGGATCCTGCCGCCTTCATCGTTCTGGTCGATGACGCCGATGATCTTCCGATCCTTCACCACTTCGGCAAAGGACCTAGACCACGTGCCGCGGCTGGTTGTCTTGGCCTTTTTGCTCGCTGGTTGAGCCACTATATCTTCCTGGATCTTCAGGTAATCCACCTTGGATGTCTGATCCTCCCGTATGGGGTTGGTGGCCAGACGTTTTAGGATGCGGTAAGCCTTCTTCCGTTCGAGCGGTCCTGCCTGGTTAGGTGGTGTCCGCTTAAACTCCTTGGCCCTGGTACTTACCACAAGGTCAGCCCTTGCACCTCCCTCCGGTTGGTTTGGCTGGTGGGCCGCCCCAGCATTGGTGGGTGTTTTGGACTGGCCCTTGCGGTTCGTTGGGGCTACTTGGCTGCGTGGTCCGCTGGCCTTGGCTGGTGTCGATGTTGCATGCATTGGGGCTTTCGGTACGGCACCCTTGCTCATTTGGTCGTCTTTGGTGTTGACTTCCGACTTTTTAAGAGTGTCGGACTCTGCGTTTATTGTTTCTTTGTTATTTAACTTCTCCATGCTTGTTCCCACGAACTGCGGAGAAAGGACAGGTCCACCCAGGCAGAGATCCGCTGTAGCCGGGTAAGGCTGGTTAGAACAGGCGGTCGCCACTTGCCTGAGCCCACCGTTAGAGACTGAGTTATTTGTTGACTCGGGCTCCCAGCCAGATTGACTCTCGGCACGGTTCGAGTGACACCGTAGTCCAGCCCGGGGCGGGGGGATAGGGAAGAGGTAGGCTTATGTGTGGGGAGTGGGTTTGTGTGAGCTATTTGTCGGAGGCGGCAGCACAAGCGCGACGTCGGCACTGCTACGGCGCAGATACCCGCTGACTGTCCGGGGCTACTTATTTGCGCTTCATGTTGGGGCCTAGCGGTGGCTGGGCCGTGCCAACATCCACGCTTATTCGTAGCTACCCTGGATAAAACCAGGGCGTTCGCTATCCGCAACCTGCGACCCGTTCGGTAGCCTTCAGCTCGGCGCCCTCCAAGCCATCCCACTAGCTCATTGGCCGAGGGTGGGTCCTATTGGGGGGGGAATTAAGGGGGTTGTGTGGGGGGGGGGGCTCTTTTTTGGGGGGGTTTTTTTTGTTTTTTTTTTTTTTTTTTTTTTTTTTTTTTTTGTTAAAGAGAGAGAGAGAGAAAAATTTATTAAACTTCTCAGGAGGAATAAGGGGACCCTTTTGGATTGTTTATAAAAAAACCTTTGGCCCTTCCCTCTCTTTTTCCGATCTCGCCGCTTTTTCTCTTATCAATTTTCAATTACTCTTTAACTACACAAAAATGTCTTTAATTTGCTGCGCCAAGAAATGCGAATTTAGCGGCACCATCTCTGGTGATAACTACTTGATGTGCTGGCTGTGTGATAACTGCTCACATGTTAAATGTGGCGGTGGCGGTCATAATGGTAGAATCGGTGATATTGTTGGGAAACACAGACAATTTCACTGGACTTGTACTTCGTGCCTAACCATTACCAAGGAAATGAGAACTTTCATGAGGCAAACGAGATCTGGGTTCCAAAAGGTTCGGACTCAACTCAATGTTCTCTGACATATTTGGTTCTTATTCATCATTTCTGGGCCCCGAACTTCTAAGTGACTCTCCCAGAGGGAATATTCCCAATATTCAACCCAATGTTAAACTTATTGCCGATAATGTACCTGTAATGCCTCAAACAATGATGACCCAGCTACAGTTACAGCTACTACTGCTAATGTTCCTGATGCCGCTGACGCCGATCGTACTCTACTGGATTCAACTTCCCTACATACTGAAGTTACTGATGTTGGTCCTGGCACCTTTACTTCCGCACCACGACCGCTTATGGAATTCTCACCTTGCCGACCGTCGGGATCTGCTGGCAACACCAGCGCTACTGCAAATGTTCCCAATCCCGATGAACTGCCGTTAACATCTGTTCCTCGCCCATCTGAATTACCATTGCGCTTAGTCAAACTTCGGAAAGCAATATTTGTGTCCCGCTTGTCACCTGATACTACGCCGGGAGCCGACAAAAATCATCTTTGCTTCAAGTTAAAAGCTACTCCTGATAATTTTATAATTACCAAATTTAATTTTAATCACACGCGTAAAATTTCCTCATTTAAAATTTTTGTTCCCAACAGTCTCCTATCAGAAGCTTTGAATCCTGCATTATGGCCTAATGACACTATTGTTCATGAATTTCTGCCTAAAGACTTGACCCAGGCTCCCAAGATTACCGGTTCAAAAAACTAAGTTGCTTTTTTACCGTTATTTATCAAAACGTACGCAGTCTTTTGGGTAATCTTAACCAAATTCACACTAACAGCGCGACATTTGACTTTGATGCCATCGCTTTTACCGAAACCTGGCTTAACTCTTCCGTTTCCGACCATGAAATCTTTGTTCATAAGTTCTCTATAGAACGGATCGTTCTTCCTTTGCTGGTGGTGTCCTTATCGCGGTAAACAACAATTTCTCCTCTGAGTTGTTTCCTGTTGCTAACGAGGCTGGTATTGAATTCGTTGCTGTAAAAGTTTGCATTGGCTCAGCTTTCATCTTTTGACCTGCTCATATATTCCCCCAACGTCAGATTCCACAGTATATTTAAACCACCTGTCTGCCATTCAGTTTGTGATGTCTGCAGTGGGTCAAGCAGACCAAATAATTGTGATGGGTGACTTTAACCTCCCACATATTTCGTGGATTCCCTATGATGACTCTAATCTTTTGCTACCTAACAATTGTCATGATTTTATCGATGGGTTAACTGACTTGCTCTTAGCTCAAATCAACTCGGTTAAAAATAATCGCAATAGACTTTTGGACCTCATGTTTGTAGGTGATGACGCTCTTGCAACAGATTCTAGAGTCAATGCAATTTCCTTTCCTGAAGATCCTTATCACCCCACTCTATATCTTTTGAGCTTTTAAACCAATCTTACAAATCGACTGCACTAGCCACTTGTCCGATAAAATGTTTTCGGATAACAGATTACACTGGCCTTAATATGTACCTTTCGAGGAATGACTGGTCATTTCTATTAGAAATCCAAGATATGGACTCCGACATCATACAATTTTACAACTCCATTTATCCGGCCTTGGATGCTTTTGTCCCAACACTGGATATATCCCCTTCTTCCAAGCCCCCGTGCACAGTGGCCAAAATTCAAAAAATCGACGGAACCTAAAATGGGCAAAGGGTATACAACTTTTCTCTAAAATGCCCAAGCTTCTTAGTGGCATACCAGACTTTTCTGGAAAAATCTCGGTGCTTTCTAAAAATCGACCTAAAGTCGTGAGCACGTGTTAAGTTGCAAAGCAAAACTGCGCGCATCACTAATTTTTCGCAGCAACATTAAACTTTGAAACCGTGTATTTCTCATATTTCGTGTCCAAATTAATATTCTGTAATATGGATTTTGAATTTGAAGGTATTATCTATAAATCGAGATGTGTATAATAATCGTACTTGTCAAATTGTTCTCGTTACATCAATTTGAAATAATACATGTTTTGTGTCTATTTTGTGAACGTCTTTTTTATGTTTAGCTAAGGTTTCAGTGATAACATGTGTGTTAAAATTGACTGCAGAAATTTGCAGATGTGCCTACAATCGTAAAAATACTAACACCTTCATAAATTTTTCAAGGGCAGAACTGGCCAAAAAACAAATTTTTTGCCGCTTTTTCCTTGTCGTGCTGTTCCTTTGTCTTCGTCTTTCGTGATTGATACCCCTTTACTCGTAGAGTAAAAGGGTATATTGTATTCGTGCAAAAGTATTTCAACAGGGAGAAGGAAGCTTTTCCGACCCTATAAAGTGTATATATTCTTGATCAGGGTCACTAGCCGAGTCGATATAGCCTTGTCCGTCTGTCCGTCCGTCTGACCGTCCGTATGAACGCTGAGATCTCGGAAACTACAAAAGCTAGAAGGTTGAGGGAGTTTCACACATATTCTTGGGCTTCCTAGTTTAAGTTTATTTCAGTCGAGCGCCACGCCCCTGCTAACGCCCACAATCGCCCACTAACAATTCCAAAATGTGTCTGGCGCCCACACCTTTAAAGATTTCCCAGAAGTATAAATGAGTATAAATAAATAGTAGCGACCATAGATGCCACAAGTGTGGAAAGGACCACCACACTTTACTACATAGGGACGACCGATCTTATCTTTCGACGTTTTCCTGAGTCTGCAATCCTGAAGTTCTTGCTACTTTGTGCGTGTTTAAGAAATTGTTTAACAACGGTCAGAAAGATTTCAGCTCTATATTGTCTTTACAAAATGTAATAAAACAATTGAAACAAACTAGTTAGTA